CCCAGGGTCACAAACTCATATGCATACAACTATATATATATATATATATATATATATATATAGTAGCCTGCGAATGACACACGCACACACACACACATATATATATAAATATTATAAATTAATTGATTTAAAATGTTTTTCGCTACACAGTTCTAACCATGTTTCAAATGGAACTAATCTCTTTAATTTAATTACAAAATTAAATTCAAAGCTTTTAGCTTCGATTTTTGAAAAATGGTTAGAAGTGTGTAGCGCAATTTTCGACGGATTTGCACCAAAATTTACATGCACATGCTCCAAGTTAGCGGAAAGGCCAAAACCGACTTTGCATTTTCCTACTCCCATCGATAGTGGAAATAATCGATTTTTTCATGTAGTTTGCGGCCATTTTCTACTGGCCAAAGTGAGAGCCTATAGCTGGCTGCCACGAATAGGCAGGAAGATTCTATTGGCCAGTGTGAGAGCCAACAGCTGACTGACACGAATGTTAACTGGCATGCCAGCATGCAAAAAAAAATCGATAGCTGCATTCATCACAAGTGGGAAAAATTTAAATCTGCATAGCACTTTACTCCAATTGGCTCATTCGCTTGCTTAAACTCAACGTTGATTCTGATTCCGCAGAACTGGGTTGGGTGTGAAAAAGTATTCGTTGTTAACATTCTTTTTCATTCGGTTTTTCCTAGTTACGAGTCCTTTTTTTTATAAGCTGATCGTTTTGTGTTCATTTTGTTTAGTTCTTTTTTTAATATTTAGTATAGAGCTTAGAAAAAATTAGCAGTGTGAGATAGGCAAGAAGTAAGGCATGTAGAAACATGTGTGTGTGTGTGTGTGTGTGTGTGTGTGTGTGTGTTTGAGTGAGTGTAAATAATTTCTAAAGAATTAATGGATTTTTAGTTTTAATCTGACATATTTTTATTTTTATTACTTCAAACGAAAAATTTACTGGATAGCCGTATGTGAGTACAATGACCTGTTTTTAAATCATTACTTATTTTGTCTACCAGTCTACACATTTAAATACTTGTATCTATAAATAACAACGTTAAACATAAAAATGTCTTTAATAAATAAATTGTCGGACCTTGTCCATTTCTTAACATATGACGTCATTTGTTTACATTCGATACGCCATGAGCAGTTATGAATGTACGAGATTCATGGAAGATTGAAGTTTATAAACAGTAAATTCGACCTTGTCTACCGTAAGGTTCTTTGTGGCCGAGACGGTTAAGGCACGTCAGCGTATATGACGGTTCCGTATAGGATGCAGGTTCGAATCCTGTCTATGAAAATTACTCGGACATTCATGTTTACTGTTTATCATAAACAGAGCATTTGCTTAAATACTTGTATCTATAAATAACAACGTTAAACATAAAAATGTCTTTAATAAATAAATAATAATAAATAAATTGTCGGACCTTGTCCATTTCTTAATATATATATATATATATATATATATATATAGCGGGGGTCGTGTTTGTCGAGCGCTCCGAAAGTAACTCTACCTATTTATTTCAAAGGAAGCTACACATGCCTGATAATGATATCTCCGGGCATCAAAAACAAAGTTATTCATGTATTTTAGGAGATTGCAACACCCCTAATCAGAAACAGCATTAAATTCTAACATTGGCCACATATACATCACACACTCTCGTCGATGTACTTGTCATTTACAGAAACTTATCATGCAATTCTTACACTTTGTGATTGCCACATCAGAAAATCAAAATAGATCTATCAATATAAGTAACATGCTGGTCAATAAAACCTAAATACGATACACCACTCATTGCAAGGAATGCCTAACAATTCAGGTAGTGATTGCTATGCAAAACAACCAAGCTAAATTAAAGACCTTTCACCACAGGAAACTATATATTAAAGTATATATAACATATTTAATAGGCATATAAAATTATCACAATACATATAAATATTTGACCCATTTTTTGGTGTAGTTTAGCTTTGTGAAACCGTTTTGTGCATGATATAATTTATATGATACATGTATATTTGAGATAATTTGAATTCTAGCCTTACAAAATACCAGGTTGTAGCCAACAAAATTTTGTCTAACACACCGGCAACATCAAATTTCTGATAATAACTGAGACAGTGAAAGTACTTGAACAAAAACAGAAAAAAAAATGAATTTAGAAAGGTTTATCCACATTTTTAATTTATATGTACATGTCTTAAAATTGGAAAAAGGCAATAAAAATTTAAATATACGATCTCTTTCGGTTGAATTTAATAAAACAGATTTAAATCAATTCACATTACTTAAATATATCTTACACTAGCAGCATGGCCCGGCGTTGCCCGTGCTTGATTCAAAAACCGTACGACTCATACAGCAATCGCTATCACTTAACTTAAACTATTTTTGCCCTTCCTTGCCTTTAAAGGAGTGCCCTTTTCCGTGCTGATGTTGCTACATGCCTTACTTCTTGCCTATCTCACACTGCGAATTTTTTCTAAGCTCTATACTAAACATTAAATCTGTTACAAAAAAAGAACTAAACAAAATGAACACAAAACGATCAGCTTTAAAAAAGGACTCGTAACTGGAAAAACCGAATGAAAAAAGAATATTAACAATAAATACTTTTTCACACCCAACCCAGTTGTGCAGAATCAGAATCAACGTTGAGTTTAAGCAAGCGAATGAGCCAATTGGAGTAAAGTGCTATGCAGATTTAAATTTTTCCCACTTGTGACGAATGCAGCTATCGATTTTTTTGCATGCTAGTTAATATTCGTGTCAGTCAGCTGTTGGCTCTCAAGCTGGCCAATAGAATCTTCCTGCCTATTCGTGGCAGCCAGCTATAGGCTCTCACTCTGGCCAGTAGAAAATGGCTGCAAACTACATGAAAACTGTCGTAGAAGCATGAAAAAATCGATTATTTCCACTATCGACGGGAGTTGGGAAATGCAAAGTCGGTCTTGGCCTTCCCGATAACTTGGAGCATGTGCATGTAAATTTTGGTGCAAATCCGTCGAAAATTGCGGCCGTGCATTCGTTACACACACATACACATCCTGCTTTTTATAGATTGAGATGTACGTATGAGTGTATGCTTGTGTCATAGACGTAACCCGTGTGGCAGAGCATTAATCAACGATAAGGCATTCCTTGGCACCAAACATCTGATACGCGAAGGGTGCGGAAAAGTTTGAAAAGTTGACTTGACTCAAGACCGTGATGAAGACTACATGGAAACGTCACTACCGGAAGATCTTGTCTGCTATGCCCGTGGAAAAGTATACAAGTCACTTTGCTAGTTTTAAAAGTCACTGCCGGGTATGCAGACTACCACATATCAAGAAATGTAGTTCTACAGAAGGATGCTGAGAATCCCAATGGATTAAACATGTGAACAACGAGGAAGCTTTTTGGAAACACATTTATAGTTAAAATTAAAAAGAGACAATGAAAATTTCTCGCGCATATAGTGAGGACAAAGAGCGTGGGGAATTTGACACACACAGGACATATTAAAGGTCAGCGAGGGAGGAGAAAGAAGATAAAAACCTATCTAAGGAGATGGTGCAAATGATTGACACAACAGTAATTAGGGGATATAGCAAAAAGAGAAAACTTACTAAGAGCAAGAAAGGAGAGGAAGTTGTGGAGTGCCATGATCCCCAATGTTATGAAAAGACACGTTAATTAGAAGAAGACCGTAGGAAGAACCGGAGACAGACAGTACTAAAAAAGCATAATTTTCCTTTCCAGCCTTGACAGAGATCCAAAGCGTCTACGCGGCCTTTAGGGTGATTAATTATGCTTCAACCCTACACCCTGTTTACTACAGCACCAATCTGTGACCTTATAATTAGGATAAAACTGGAAAAGAATACATTTTTCATACGATAAGCGCTTTTAGTATGATGTTCAACTAAACACCCGAGTGATCTTAGTTCGATAAGGAGAACACTTAAATACCCATATGCAACTTACTACACGCATAAGAAAATCCCTAGTAGATAAAACTGTCATTCTAAAAATATTTAATTGCAAAAGCCCTTTAAAAATAATAAAAGCCTTATCTTGTAAAACTCTAAGTGACCCATACTTAATATAGTCTGCTTTAAAATCAGCTAAAATGTACTGGATATGTTTCTAACGCAGGTCCTCACAACGTGGAATTATTACTACTCATATACAACACAGCATAAAATGGAAGCACAAAAATACGTAGGAACGGCTTGAAAATGACTTAATTAGCCGAAAGCGCTTGGGACTCTAATCACTACGAACAGTGTCTACACTTTCTTAGACACATAAAAGAATAACAGTAAGGAGTCTAATAAAACGGAATACAAAAATAAGTTAAACATGTATAAAAAGAAAGACTGTTACCCAAACATAAAAATATACACCACACACACACACACACACACACACACACACATATATATATATATATATATATATATATATATATATATATATATATATATATTTCACACGAGCATGCACAGAGACATACATGAAATTAATTACTAAATGGAAATGTGCAATGTATTGGAATTCACTTATACTTATCAAACGAACCCAACCCAAGGTGCTACCCCAGCAGCTGGATTTGGGCGGGGTTCGTATGGTGAATGTCTAAGGGGTGATGGTAAATTCTTTTGGTATGGGGAGAGCGTTTTACCGATTTTTAGATTGAGAAAATTTTGGCCGTATTTCCTCTTGTATCTTTCATAAGAATTTCTTGTTTAAAAAACCAGAAACGACAAGAATCATGGCTGATTGCGTTTCCGTCAAAAAAAAAAAAAAAAAAGAAAAAAAAGTGAGGGGTATTTGTTTCTCTCTCTGAAGACTGTGGCAGCTGCTTTGCAAAGGAACTGGAGAAAGAGGGGGAAAAAAACTGGTGCAAGTAAAAATAAAATAAAATAAAATTCCACCGACATTTTCACAAAATATGGAAGTAAAAAGCGAAGTTTCGTTTTTCGAATTCAGTAGACTCTCCTCATTTTGAATGGGCTTTTTACCCTCTCTTCCTCACTCTCTCTCTCTCTCTCTCTTTCTTTGTGTGTGTGTGTGTGTGTGTGTGTGTGTGTGTGTGTGTGTTCTTCGCTTATATTTTTTTCTTCCTGTTAACTTTCCCTTTTATCTTTCTTATATTTCAGTCAAGATTTCTCCATGGATTTCTCTCGCTTGCTTTTTCTCTTCCGTTTTTATGTTTACGAATTCTTTTTTTTTGTTTCTTTGTTTGGTTCACTCTTTCTTTCTTAATCATATATCACTTTCTTTCTTTCTTTCTTTCTTTACTATACTTTTTATTCTGTTCTATTCCTTCTTCCTTTCTTTCTTTTTTCTTTATTCATTTCTTTCTTTTCTTTCTTTCTTTTTCACGACTATTATTTCTTATTCCCTTTCTTTCTTTCTTTACTATACTTTCGATTCTTTTCTTTTTCTTATTTCCTTTCTTTCTTTTTCTTTATTAATTTCTTTCTTTCTTTTTTCTCGACTATTATTTCTTATTCCTTTTCTTTCTTTCTTTCTTTCTCGACTATCACTTCTGTCTTTCTTACCTGGTTATCGCAGCTTTCTTTCTTTTTTCTCTTTTACTACTATAAAGTATTTCTTTCTTTCTTTCTTTCTTTCTTCAATACCTGATTATCGCATCTTTCTTTCTTTATCTCTCTCTCTCTTTTACTAGCATAAAGTATTTCTTTCTTTCGTTCTTTCTTTCTTTCTTTCTTTCTTTCTTTCTTATACTTTTGATTGTTTACTTTTTCCTTCTTCCTTTCTTTCTTTTTCTTTATTCATTTCTTTCTTTTCTTTCTTTCTTTTTTCCCGACTATTATTTCTTATTCCCTTTCTTTCTTTCCCTCTTTCTTTCCTTCTTTCTTTCTTTCTTTCTTTCTTTCTTTCTTTCTTTCTTTCTTTCTTTCGACTACCCACTTCTTTTTTTCTTACCTGATTATCGTAGCTTTCTTTCTTCCCCCTCTCTCTCTCTCTTTTACTACCATAAAGTATTTATTTCTTTTTTTTTCTTTCTTTCCTACCTTCTTTCCTTATGCTACAATCACTACTTTCTTTCTTTCTTTCTTTTTTCCTTTCTTTCTTACTCGACTAAAGAAGAAAACAAAGAGTGGTGTAAGTATTTCTTCCTCCTTTATGTTACTATCACTTCTTTCTTACACCACTCTTTCTTTCTTTCTTTCTTTCTTTCTTTCTTTCTTTCTATCTATCTTTATATCTTTCTTTCTTTCGCCCAGACTTTCTTTTATCTTTTTGCAAGCACTTTAATGTCCCCTTTACGATTTGACATTGACAAACCTTAACTCATTACAAAACAAATTTAAATGAAAAAGAAAAAATCATTTGAGATTTCAGAAAGCCAAATTGCTAATAGTTCCGCAAAAAAATAATTTTCCGAGAAGACAAAACACAAGAAATCCAAATTTCTCAACTCCGGGTTAAAAAAAAAACTAAAATAAAAATAAAAAAAAAAACTTCGCCATCCTGATTACAGCCGGCCGAAAAGTAATGGTGCCAATAGAATGGAAAATGAAGGAAGGCTGAACAGAAGCCGGAATTTTTTGACAGAATCGATTTAATTCCTGAAAATGTATCTTTCGTTGACACTTATGACGGATTGCTCAAGTTGATAGAACGGAGGCAACGGTATTTGGAGTTTAATTCTATGCGCCGGGATTTTGAGGGCAGTTCTCGTAGAGCGTATCTTGAAGAAACGGAGACATGTTGAAAATGGCTGTCGAGAACGAAAACAGTGGAATAATTACCTCTTAAGCGGCCAAACTTTTGATCAACCTTTTGAAAGAGAATCGTTGATAACTTAGAAATATTAAACAATCAAACGACATTACCAATAAAAAAACAAACATGTTATACAAACTTGTATAACTTAAGGCGGCCAACTGTTCCTCGTGATTTTTATTGTGTGATAATGACAGATCATTTTAGAATATTTTAACACATTCTATTAACAATTCTGTTTTATTGTTTAATATTTTAAACTTTTTCAACGATCCTCTTTCATCAGCATTCTTGAAAATATATGTGGCGTATTATATATAAGAAACCTCTTCGATGCCGATATCAGTACGCGTTAACAGGACCAAGTTAGCACGGCACGGGGTGGATCATCGTTATTTTGCACACCCCAATTGTTACACACAGAAAAAAAAACTTATGTATATAAAAATATATATATATATATATATATATATATATATATATATATATATTTATATATTTCGATCCTAGCTAGAGACAATTGGACGTCTAGCCACACTGACGAGTCTGTCTGGATGACAATATATATACAGTGTAACCCGGATATAAGTCTCTTATATCCGTGTTTCTCTTATATCCGGGTTTGGTCTATTTTATATACATTAACACAGGCTCTAATTTGGGACCAGAGAAAATCTCTCTTATATCCGGGTTTCTCTTATATCCGGGTTACACTATATATATATATATTAGAACACAATTAAAAAATGTATTCTAAAATCAGAAAAGCTGACCCCTTAAGAGGATTGAAACTACCTTTACCTTTTCCTTTATTTTGTACCAACGTTCACTCATTACAAGGCCCAAGAGCAACTCAAAGTAGAGTGTTGCTGACTGAGATTTTTGTAAGGCGGGAATAAGTGGTGCATATTATGAAGATATGTAGAATAAATAACTGTTGACTAAAGATTTTAAAAGGTTACGGTTGTAGTGTTTAAGGAAGCATAATATCGGAAATGTGTTCTATGATAGAACACTTCTGGGGAAGAAGATGTCTGAGTGGAACTTTCTCCTTACCAATGAGATACGAAGAGTATGGGGATCAGTCGACTTGTGAGTGTAAGTGACATGACCGGACCTAGATATGAAGGCCTGGACTGCTGGAATAATATTACTCGTTTGAACATTTGCCGTGGAAATAGCGAGAGAATAGCGAGAGGTTAGTAACGTTTTGTCTTTGGGAAAGAGGAAGTAGGGCTGAAGCATAATCAATCACCCTCAAGGCCGCGTAGACACTTCTGATCTCGGGAAAAGGAAAATCACCGGCCCAGATATAGCGACATTACTTTATTTTTTTCTTCGGTCTGACGGTCATTTTCAAGTAGTCTTCGCTTCTTTGTACGGTTTTCTTTTGAATACTGTGTCTCTTCGATCTGTGAGCGATCTTTTTAAACATTTCACCCAAAGCAAGGCGGAAGTGCCGCTAGCACGCAAGGGGTTACAGAGTGTTAAAGTGCGTGTAAAGAGGGGTGTTTGAGGAAAGGGTAAAGAGAAGGACGAAGATCAAGATCAAGCCGTCAGAAGATGTCGATTGACATTACATTTAAATTTTTGAAGATTATACTAACCAGGGAAGCAAGTAAGAGGAAGGGAGTTTCACTGTTGGGAAGTGCGAGAGAAGACGAAGTTAGAGTAGAAGAGGCGGTTATATTTAACTGTTTCGTCAGTAAAAGGGTGGGACCGTAATGCCAACCAAGTAGCACGCTTAAATTCATGCATTTGGGGCACCTGTGAAAATAGCTCGTCAGAGCAGTTGCCATGAATATATTTGTAGAAAAGACAGAGGGAAGCCACATCATGTCTGTGAGAAAGTGACTAGAGTCGAGATGCCAGGTCAGGACCTATCACACTGCATATGGATTTTGTCGAGGACATCGAGATGAATAGCGGGGGCACCAGACCATATATGGCAACAGTATTCAAGAGCGAATGGTAGATTTTTAGATGTGAAGGATGGACTCAGGCGAAAAAAAAACGTTCTGACCCGACACAGAGAACCAACTTTCCTTGCAGTAGATGCAGCTATTGATTCAATGTATTTGTTACACTTCAGATCTGTGGAAAGTGTGGGACCAAGAAGACGTAGAGAGACGCTCTCGAGGAGTTGAGCATCAGCCATAATTTTCTCCGATTTTTCATGTGATCATCTTTTTTTAGATACCATGTCACTTGAGGACGTGGGCGATCATAGCTCTCCACAACTTCCGGTCAGTAAGTTATATCCTCTAATTCCTGTTCTGTCAACCATTTACACAAGCTCGTTTTTCATCTTCGACTCTGTCTCGTGTCGCTTCAGGATACTGGTGATCATAGCTCTCCACAACTTCCTGTTCTTTGTAGCTCTGAGTAATTTTTCTCTTTTTGCTATATCTCCTAACCATTGTTATTCCAACCATTTACACGTTTGGTTGGTTAAGTACTTCTGTAATAATTTCACGTTGGGATGCCTTGCGTTCGAAACATATCCAGTACATTTTATTAGGTTGGTGCAAAAATAATGACGTAATAATGTCGTTTTTTAACGTATTTTTTAACGTTAAAAAACGACATTATTACGTCATTATTTTTACACCAACCTAATAGCTGATTTCAAAGCAGACAATGTTAAGTATAGGTCACTTAGAGTTTTACAAGATGAGGCTTCTATTATTTTTAAAGGGATTTTGCAATTAAATGTTTTTAGAATGACAGTATTATCTTCTAGGGATTTTCTTATGGATGTAGTAAGTTGCATATGGGTATTTAAGTGTTCTCCTTATCGAACTAAGATCACTCGGGTGTTTAGTTGAACATCATACTAAAAACGCTTATCGTATGAAAAATGTTATTAGTTTTATCTTAATTATAAAGTCACAGATTGATACTGTACGAAAGGTGATGTAGGGTTGAAACATAATTAATCACCCTAAAGGCCGCGTAGACGCTTTGAATCTATATCAAGGCTGGAAAGGGAAATTATGCATCTCCAGTCCTGATATAGCGATAATATTTAATACTTTATTTTATTTTGTCTGTCATTTTCAAACAGTCTCAGGTTCTTCGTACGGTCTTCTTCTAAATTCCGTGTCTCTTCATAACATAGGCGATCATGGCTCTTCACAACTTCCTGTTGTAGCTCTTAGTAAGTTTTGTCTTTTTGTTATATCTCCTAATCCCTGTTCTTCCAACGATTTACACAAGCTCGTTCGGTTGGTTATGTACGGTTTTCCACTGTCCCTCTTGCCTAAGAGTATCAGATTTTCTAAGCCCTCTTTCCTCATTATGTGACCTAGAAAGTTCAACTATGTCTTTCTGATACTAAGTATAAGTGTCCTTTTCGTTTTCTTTCTGTCTAAAACATCGTCATTTCTCACATATACAGTCCATGGTATTCTCAGAATCCTTCTGTAGAATCAAATTTCTGCTACCTCAAATTCCAGCATCCGCTGTCATATAACAGGTATTATTTACATCTAATAATTTTAGACAAATATTGAATTGAAAATATAGATAAAATTTTAACATTTTATTAAAGTTAGAAGCTTAGAAACTGTAAAACACTTATTATTCTAACTTAATTCCATCAGTTAAAAGGTGTATAACCTTATCATGTTGAAACACTGATTTTAATGCTATCATGGAAGTTATGCAATGTTGAGCCTTGCCAGTAATTATGTGGGTGACCACTTAGTAATCCCAGGTGTAACTGATAACAGCTTATAATTGGAAATCAGCGAGCTGAGTTCCAATTTCTATAGGGTTTGTTATATTCACTTACACACAAAAAACCCTTGTAAAGGTATGAATCTTCTCCCTCCAGCTATGGATTAATTAGTAAAAATTGTATCAGTGAAATCATTATTATGTCCTCAAAAAATTATTTCTAAAAAATATTTTTTCTGCCTTTAAATAACCTGCTAAAAGTTGATATGCCATAAAGAACAATGAAGGCATAAGCAACTAATATTCAAATAATCTACAATGCACTCCTAAACACATCAAACAATAAAATTTAGTCCTGGATATGACGACAAACTACATCTGGCAGCAAGACCTCTGATTGGGAGATTAGAGGTTTTCTCTAAGACATCGTCATTGCTCACATGTTCAGTCTATTGTATGCTCAAAATCCTACTGTAGAACCAAATTTCTTCTGCCTCAATTCTTTTCTTCATCTGTGATGAGATTTCCCAGCATTCACTGCCATATAGGAGGTAGCATTAGCATTTAATAATTTTAGACAAATATTGAATTGAAAATATTAATAAAATTTTAACATTTTATTAAGGTTAGAATCTTGGAAACTATGTTAACAATATAAACTGTAAAACAATCGTTATTCTAAATTCATTCCGTCAGTTAAAAGGTTTACGTCCATATCATGTTGAAAGACTGGTTCTCCGAAGTTATGGAACTAGTACCAAAGTTATGCAAAAAACGTACCTGGTGAGGTCTTGGGAAGACTATGCACCGTATCTTGTATGTGAAGATGATATAACGGATAACGGCTCGGGATTGTAATTCGGAAAACCGAGTTCCAATTCCG